ATGCACCCGTGAAGGTGCATGCTACCCAGAGAAGGCAAGTACATGCAGTGATGAGTGTTCCGGGACGGTACACAAAGAGAAACACGCAGAGCACAGGGAAGGGTAGTAGAGCACGATAGGAAGAAACAGGCAAGGAAGCATCCCACGTGAAGAAGCACAGGCAGGGGAGCCTCTCTGATAAGGTGGCATCTGAGAAGCTGCATGGCATGCAGGAGCCAGCCATGGAGATGTGCTAGCCTTCAGAAAGGAGCCATCTTAGCATGCTCTGGAGGGACATTCAGGGGGATGGGCAAGGCTGCAGCGGAGTGGGTGAGCGAGTGAAGAAGAATATGAGGCCTGGAGACACCAAGTAGCACCTGCAGGCCCAGGAAGTCTCACAACATCTGTGCATGAAGGGAAGCCTCCCTTGTGAGAGCTATGAGCTTGTTCTCTTGGGATCACTGTATGGTGGGGTCCCTAACCTTTTTGCTTTTTTGGCATCAGGGACTAGTTTCGTATAAGGCAATTTTTCCAGGAACCAAGGCTGTGGGGAGGAAATGGGGGCAGAAAGGGATCATCCTCAGGCATTAGATTCTCCTAAGGGGTGCGTAACCTAGATCCCACACATACATAGCTCACCATAGGGTTCATGCTCCAATGAGGATCTAATGCCCTTGCTGATCTGACAGAAGGAGGAGTTGCACTTCCTCACCACTAACCTCCTGCTGTGCAGCCTGGTTCCTAACAGACCATAGGTACCGTCCACAGCCTGGGGTTGGGGACCCCTGCTGTAAGGTATATTAAGAATGCCTTACGAGGGAACCAGGGGCAGAACAGAGGGGTCCAGTCAGTTTCCTACAGTAATCCAGGCAGGAAAGGATGATAGCTCAGGCCAGGGTGTAGAAGTGTCAGGTCCTAGGAAGTCAAGCCAGTAGAGTCTCCGAACAGAGAACAGACGTCATGAACGACTGCATATCTTGACTGGGCAACTCGAAGAATCAACTGAAATGAAGAAGCCTGAAGACAGTGTAAGGTGGGTGGAGGGGAGAATGGATTTTGTTTAAACATGCTGCATTTGAAAAGTCTTACTTGACTCCGTGAGAAGATATGACATGAGTAGGTGGATGTCTGAGCCTTTTGTGTGTGAGAGATTTGGACTAGGAATTAAATGGGGGCAGTGATGGCATCAGTATGGCCCTACTATCACTGATCTGGAGCAAGCACAGAGGATGGAGGAGGCAGGCCCTAGACTGACTGAGGCAACAATGGGTCACAGGGATAACAGAGGGAAGAGCAGAAACCAGCTTGGCAGCCCCCCAATCTTAGAAACTCAGGGTTTCCAACAGGGCAAGACCTGCTTAATTTATTCCACGAGTCACCTCAAGATCTTGTGACATGCCCTTATTCTGCTAAGGAGGGGACTGACAGGAGAGGTTCCCAGGGCAACCTGCCAATTCTGACATATGACAACTCTATAGGTAATGATGTTGTTAGTAACATTAGTATTTACTGGAGAATTAGGCTAAGAAATGCTCAGAAAAATGAGGCTAAGATCAATAAATACTTAAGATAATTATCTTTTAAAAAATAGAAACTCAATTACTTCTATGGAATAAAAATTTTGATGCAGTCATTATCCTTAAGTATTGTTGTTCATCTGTCATAGAATTCTTCATAGCATAAACATTTCCCCTTGTGCATAGAGTTGGCTAGTACCTTCAAGACAACGCCTCAGGTCAGCAACTACCATATTATGGATACTGAGCAAGTATTTATTAAATGAACATCTCACAATGATGATTCTAATTGATTGATATTTTTCAGCTATACTTATAGACACCTTAATAAACAAAAGAGGGAGGAAAAAAATGTGTATTTCTAAATCTTTGTTTTTTGTTAAAAAAAAATGCAGCAGTCAGAAAATATTCTTTCCAATCACCAAGGAGGGGAAATGTTTCAAGAAAAGCTTCTCTCTGGGATGACACTGCCAGAGAGACTGCCAGAGGAGAGGCTGTCATTTGGTGAAAAGATCATTAAAGACAAACCCTGATACAGGGATTTTTAGTGTATTATCTGATCTAGACTTTATATGCTTAGAAGTTGACGAAGAATAAATATTGACTTAATATAAATATGTCAGACTATAATTGTCTAGAGGGTGCCAAAGACATAGTACACAAGTACTGTGGCCATGAAATGATGAGCCAAATTCCCACAACATGACAATAAGCACTTTGAATTTACAGCAGAAATGTTCTCAAGCATTTTTTTTAGCAGACTATAAACTGGCATAGCTGATATAAAGCAGACTAAATTCTGTATGATATTCTTAAAGAAAACACAGAATGCATGTTTACTGGAAATCTCTCTTACTCTATCAATAGAAGGTTATATCTAAACTGGAAAACTGTCAATATCATTTCAATTGAGTTCATAACTGAATATTTTAAATCTATTTTTAATGTAACAAGAATGAAATGCATTACTCATTGCAAAATTTACTTCATTTGCTCATGTGTTTATGATTACATAAGAATACACAGAATCAATTTATGACTAAACTGAGAAAAGGTCAAAACCATAAACAAACAGTAACACTTAAAATTAACGGGGAAAAGCAGAGTAACTAAATCTAGTAACATTCAAAGGCATGCTTCTAGAGTCACTGGACTACATCTCCTGCTCCAGGACACACCTGAGAACTGCATCTACTGAAAACATAAAACAGCCACCACTGAAAGGAAAAAGAAAACCAAGACAGGAAAAAAGTACCAAAGGGAAAGAAACAAGAACATACCAAATCTAGAACAGAGATTGCTGGCATAGCAGTCTGCTGCAGGTAACAGAGAAAGAAAAAAAAAGAAAGATGCAGTGTGAAAAAAAAAGTTAGGTTTAGACCTGTCATTTGCCATCGGCATATTGTGTTGCTATCACGTGTCATCTATTTTTGGACAACCCAATGAGAAAAGCAAAAAACTACAGACTGACTTGTAGTATTCAGAAATAGAAAATGACATGGTATTAAATGAGTTTCATCATTAAAATACACAGACACTTAAAAAAAAATTTCCCTTAGCTCTCTTATTTGGAGACTAAGATATTAATCTTAATATAACTAATATCTAAAAACCAAATACTTTTAGTAAATTATTATAAGAAACTTTCCAAATATCATAATTCACACTAAAAGGTTTTGAAATATTCAGTGTTTTAACCATTTGGAACTGACAGACCTTAAAAAAAATTGAGTCCTCATAGAAAATAATAATCAGAAATACTACAAGACATTTGCTAACTTTTTGCTACTGTCAGGATACAGTCGAAACAATAAGAAATGTTAACAATGTCTACTCATTTGCCATAAATAACAGCTGTGTATTTGGAGCTGAAACTGTAGCAAAGGTAAAGGCATCCCTTTCTTGTCTTTTGGGGTGTGGGAGACACAAGGGCATGCCTATATACTTAGGGTTCAAATGAATCCATCTCTGCCAACCCACTAGTGACAATGGCCAGAGTAGAGGAAACTATCCTGGCAAAGGCAGCACAAGAGCAACTTATATTGCTGAGTGCCAGAAAGCCCGACAATGAGGGAAAATTATTGAGTTCTTAGGTCTGTAAAAGAACAGCACTTCGTTAATGTAAATAAAATAGTTATTTGTAAGGAAGTTTACTATTGATAATTTGAAAGATACAGATAACAGTACAATGAAACAATGTAATACTTAATATTCTGGCCTCATTTAAGAAACTTAAGTATCTAAGAGGAATTAAAGCTAAATTTTGGGCAAAGTTATGTATACCTGTGGCTGAGATGTATATATTAAGAAGTGCATGTGAGACAGACTTTTAAGGAAAAATTCACAGCAAGCTGAAAAGGGATAACAATGCTGGGCTCTGTAATCTAGCAAATAATTATCTAAGGTTTAATTTCATCATGAGGTAGAAAGATGAACAGGTCTGACCTAACAGCTCTTGGTTTAGAGCTTCAGTACAGACCGCAAAAAAGAACTGAAATTAGCAAAAGAACCAAAAAGAACATGGCTCTTGGTCATCTTTCCTCAGAATACTTTATTGTGTTTAAAAAAAAAACAACAACTCATTGACACAACATGGTCAATAGCACTCTCTACAAATGCCCAAATGAGTAACAATAAATGCCAATCTATCAACACTTCTCTTTATAGGGTAACAAAGAATCTTGCCTTCATCTAAAATCTTTGAGTAGCAATTTATTGCATTAAATTAATTTTAATTTTACTTTTGTTCTATTTGAAACAAAAAGAATAAAAGTCATTTCTGTAATATGGAGAACAATGAATAAAAGCAAGAGTTCTCAGCATCTTTACACTCCAATTGGAATGTAATTGTGTATGAATTTAATAAACACTTGCTTCATCAACAGTATAACTACAGTGAAGATTCTATTTCTGCTAATGACCTTAAATCTGATGATATGAACAGTTTTATCAACGACCATAAAGTGATGATAATAGAGACCAGGGGCTAGCCAATTACCTGCCATGCCTTTTTATAAATAAAGCTTTACTGGCATGCAGTCACACCCATGTGTTTACTTATGTCTGTGGCTGCTCTCCTGCTTCAACAGCAAGATCTGAGGGTTGCCAGAGTTCACATGGCCTGCAAAGCCTGAAGCAGCTATACTATCTGGACCTTGAAAAAAAAAATTGACAACCTGGATCAAGATTATTGCTGGTCATTAAAAAAGACTCATCTTCTCGATTAAAGTGTTAATGAGGACAATTAAGAGTTTTAAATTAAAGCAATAAAGTTCCATTTGACCTGTATTTACCTGTCAAAGCACATGTCTCAAAAAACTTTAGCGATATAGCCCTGACTCATTTCTACATGACATCGGCCAACAGCAGTGCATACAATAGGGTATTACAAGCCCAGGGGCCCTTGAGTTCTCATCCAGGTCAGGGGCCTAGCTATCTCTATAACAAACACACAGAAGATAGGGGGTCACAGATACGCACAACCATAGCATTTTTCCCCTTTACCCTTGCTCTCCGCTCAGCCTCAAGGCGCTGCATGATCAGCATGGTGTCCACATCGTCATCTTCCTCCTCCTCATCGTCCTCCTCCTTCTGCTTGGACTCCTGGAGTCTCTTCTGGAATTGCCACTCCAGCATGAGCTTCCGCAGGCGGTCGCTCTCCTCCGCGGTACGGTCTGGCTTGCTCTGCAGCTCCTGGACCTCCTTGCTCAGCATGTCCACTATGTGCATCTGCTGCTGCTTCTCCAGCTTCTCCTTGGCGTCTCTCTTCCACGGGTCTGGAGACAGGCTGTCCCCTGAGGAGAGCTCCTCCTTGCTGACTGTGATGTACTGCAAGTCCCTGCGCTCGATTGTGCGGGGTTGCTGCTGGGGCTGCAGTTCCCGAATGACTGTTTCTTGGGGCCTCTGCAGTGTGGAAGGCTTTTCTGGCTTCATCTGTTGTGTGGTCAGGGGAGAAAACGGAGTGGGATTCAGAGACTGGGTGCGCATCTGGCCCAACTTCCTCTCCTGCTCCCGCCGCTTCCGCTCCCGCTCCTCCTCCAGGCGGGCCTTCTCCTTCTCATACCACCGCTGGTGTTCTTCTCTCTTCTTCCGTTCTGTGGCAGCCACCTGAGCAGCCTGCGGTCCTATTTGGCTGGAAGGAGGGGGTGGAAGAGGCAGATCCATGGGAATTCCATCAAAATCACTGGCATAGTGGACAGGAGGTGGAGGGGGTGGTGGAGGCAGATCCGTTCGGATAGGCTGGGAAATGGCAACTGGTGTGGGCGGGACAGCAGCTGGTGTTTTCCAACGACCAGGGCCACTTTTGGTCAGTGTGGAAGCAGGGGTGACCGACTTGGAGGAATGGTTCAAGTGCTCTTGGCTGGATGTACTGGAGTCCAGCGAGGAGCTCTGATTTATCCACATATCGCTGTCAGCCTTCCGATCCATAACTGTCTCTATTCGATGATGCTCGAGTTGGTAAGTTTGATCTTCTCGAAGTTCTTCTTGGGAACGGGCAACACGCTGGAAAAAGAAAATCAACCATCTTATCTCAGTCCTTTAACAGAAGAAATTACCAAATATTTTGAAACATTTTATCTTCAGGAAAAAATACTTGTTAAATGAGTGTGCAGAAGCCAGGATGAGAATGCCCTGGGGCTCACAGCCTCTGTGGAGTAACAGTACATTTACCTGGAGAAGGAAAAGCTGTACTTCCTCTCTGTATCACTGGCAAAAAATATAAAACACACAAAAGCCCAGGTACTTCATGATCAGCACCCTTCCTTATACCCTGCACACCCTGCACCTCCTTCAATGCGGACCCGACACACAATGCAAGCTCCAAGAGAATGAGTTTATGTGGCCTACTTGCATAAAGATTGATGGTGGTTATTTCCCTAATTACATTGAGAGGCATTATTAAATCTTAGCCATTTTATCTATCTGTGACTTTCTGAATTTCTCAAGCTGAGGACTAGCTTTATGAGCTCTCTGACAATGCTATGCACAGTAATGCAAGAACAAGTCCTATACATCTGAGCTATTTCTGCTCGAATTCCAAACATGACAGCATATACTTGTTTTTCTGTGTGTAGGAGAGAGAGCAAACGAACACACTTTTTCTACCAGTAGTCTGAAGGCTGAAAAATGGTATGTCTGAAAGTAGTATACCCGGATAAACAACACCTCGAGGAGGTCTAAATCAAACATCTTTTTCCTACCCTGTTAATGAGCAGAAATTAGAGATGTAAATAAATCTGGAAAACAAATTGTGTCCCTTTCCTTAAAAAAACAAATCAATAAAGATGAAATATCTTCAAAAAGCAGTAGTCTTGCAGAAAAATGGAAGACTTACTCCTAACAATTTGCCAGAGCTTTACTTTGTACACAGAAACATAGTTTCATTACATAGTCCCATCATCATGGAATCATCTCAACACCCAGGTTGCCTATTTTTCTTATTCCTCACGGCTCAGCTCAAATCCCATCTCAATTCTAAATTTAATTCTTTGACAACTCTGATCTAAGAATGAGTAACTGTACAATTCCTGAATCACTTACGGGCAACCTGAAAATATTTTATGTGCTGCTTGCTATCTACAGATAGCCACTGCTCATACTATAGGGTCAGTGACCCAAGTCACTCCCCTGCTTTCCTGGAAGGCTTCACGTTACTCCAGCTGTTGGCTCACTCTCTCAGGCTCCCAAGTCCTGTCATCTCACAGTCATCTCAACACCCAGGCTTCTCAGGTTCCCAGCTTTCTTCTCTAGGTATCGTTTATTCACATTGTGAGGTATAAGCAAATCGCAGTTATATACTATAAATGTAAAGCCTTAATGCTACTCCCATAAAAGAGGAGATCATGTGTTTTCCAAGTGGGGTTGCCTTGATAAATGAGAAGCAGATTTTCCTAAGGTCTAACAAAAGATGCTGGAAGAACTAGAACTAGGGCATGTTATGACATTACTTTATTTTTAAAGAGAAATTTGGAGTAAGGCATCATCCCAGTTGACTCCAGCTTGCTACCAGAACAGGTATGGTTTCCTGGCAGTTAGGAGTGAAAGGGAGCATCCAACACTCCGGGACTAAGTTGCTGTAGGTAGGAAAGAAATAAGCAGGATGGACTGGCAGACCAGACACAAGGACAAGATGAAATCTTGTGACAGCCAAGATCTGCGGCCTGAGGAGAATGCTCTGCCCTGGGAAAATAGGCTCTTTCTTATCTGCTATTCATACTGTATCCTGTAAGTACAATCCTCTCCCTCTACCTGTTCTTCTTATTCCTCAAGGCTCACCTCAAATTCTATCTCAACTCTAAATTTAGTCTTTTTTTTTTGACAATTCTGATCTAAGAATGATTATCTATAGAATTCCTGCATCATTTACTATTCAGGACACATATTTATTACATATTCTAGATTGTACCTAATTTTAAGTACACTTTAAATTTGTTTTCCCAATCTTTCACAGTGTAAACAGTTATCTTTCTAAAAAGAAAAATTACATTTGACATTCTTCCCAGTTCAGCTACCCATACTGGCATCTCCTCTTTACTGCTAGACACAAATGCATATTCCTCCGCTGTCACAATCCTTACAGCCATAAACCCTGCCATGCCCTTTGCCCCCACCCACCCCACACTTCCTCTTCACTCCACATCTCTGTGCCTTACTCCTCTTGGAAGCCACTTCCACATAGGCAGGTGTGCTGCAGTCCAGGAGCCAGGTTCCAGCTGACCAAGACAGAGCAGCCACCTCTCCTGCCACACTGGCTCCACTATGTCTGATGTGTCTGGCTTCCCAGTCACACCCACCATGAGCTCCCACAGGCAGGAGTGGCTCCTGATGGAAAGAGTGCAAAAGATGCCACTGGCACAATTCTCTAGTCTCACTTCCAGAATCGGCAAACTTAGCCTTCAAAACTACACCTTATATTACTAACATTTCAATAACCAAACACCAAGAGAATAAAGAATCCCTTCTCTTATTAAGACTTCTGTCCTATTCCCTTTTTTCCTCAGACTTAACCATAAATCATGAAAGAGAAAAATAAGGGGCTAACAATGTTCTACAGCAAATGTTAACTGTGTCTCAGAAATCACCTAGTTTTTACTTAGTCCGCTTTGTTTCCCCATCCTTGAGAGCTGAGAAGTTTGTGGTGGGCTTAATATCTAACCTGAACTGCAATACTGGAATGATCCCTATCTGTGTGCACATGAGGCTTTTCCTCATAATTTGGCCACTGGGTCTGAGGAGGAGCCATCCGATCCTGGGATTTGGAAGCCGGGAAGGTAAAATATTCTCTGGTGTATGTCTGCGTAGGGATAGGGTATGCTTCGGGTCTCGGTGGAGGAGTCTGCTCCTGTAAAATGTCAAAAACAAAGAAAAGTAAGATTTTTACAACCAAACAGACTAATGTGATTTCCAATGATCTGTTTTAAAATTTTAAAAATAACATATATGTTAAATACTTGTTAAAAATTCAGTGTCTGATCCCCTACAGAGAAAAATAAAATTTATTCTGCCTAGACACACTAATTTAAGATGAATTTATTCGATTTAAAAATCAAAAGATTAAAAACTGCAAATGTAGTAATTATAATAAACACTAGCTAGTTGAGTACAAGTCTCCCTCAGGAAACTAAAAATTCAAGTGCACGAAAGCCTTGCTCATTCATCTCTGACCTCAGTGCAGAGGTTTCCTGTGGAGACGGACGTTATCTTTGCTGTGGTTCCAGAGGCATATGCGTTTTTCCCTCCAGGACTAGGAGGCTGATCTGTGGAAATCAGGAGAAGGAGTTTCACACTAAATAAACAAGGTATATGTAACGTACAATTTCCGTAAGGGTCTTATTCAACCTCATACAGCTAGTGAGGCGTCTAACAATGAGACAAAAAAGGCACATCAGAAACCAGGTCTCTTCACAGTCACAGCTACCTCTAACCCGTCAGAGCCCAGAGCTACAAGGAGTTTTTGTACACCAGGGGCTAGTAAACATTCTTAGGAAAGGGCCAGATAGCAAATACTTTAGGTTTTGCCAGCCTTGAGTGTCCTGTTGCAAATCTTTCTATTATTTCTTCTTCTTTTGTTAACAACCCTTTGAAGGTGTAAAAAAAGGATCTTAGTTCCTGTTGCCAACCCGAGAAGACACATTACCAGTATGCTTGCCTAAGGTATCAAGTTTCCCATCTTAGTTTTTATTTCTGTTAAAGACACATTAGTTATGCTATCCCTTATGAAAACCAAATCATAGTTGGCCAATATATGAGGGCAATATATTAATTATAATACCTTTAATTTAAAAAATAACAAACTACAAAGTGCCTTTGCCCCCATGTCCCGCTCCTCACTGTGACCACAAGTATACTTAGGAAGCAAGAAAGTGATTCCTCATACTTGCTACATTGGGGCTGGAGCGGTGATCAGCTCTATTTTTCATCAGTCTGTCATCGCCAGGCAACTTCTTTGGTTCACTATACTCTGCCCAAGGCAGCTGAGGACTCTCAGGAGACCCATTTTGAGCAGAATTATTATAGAGCTCAAAACCTTCACTCTTTGGTCGGGGTTTACCTGAGCCACGACGATCTGAAACTGAAATAAAAGCACATTCAGTATCTCTTCACTTGTTCAAGATTTTATTTTCAACACTCTATGATTAGCTTTAAGAGAAGATTTACAAATATTTAAACTCCATAAGCACTGTTCTTGGCAAAAGAAATAAAATGATTTTCATATAAAGGTAAATTCTATGAACTCTTAAAACAGCTTTCAAATAAGTATACTTATAATAACGAAAACATTTTTACTTTACTGGTATTGATGGGAAAACATACACTTTCAAAGCTTATTTTTTCATTAATGGAAAGTTAACTGTTTTAAGTAACAAATCTAACCATTTTAAAAGTAGCTTTTTTTAAAATTTAAAGACAGATACACTTCCCTTACATTTTTCTTTCTTTTTTAGGGGGTCTCACACTGTTGCCCAGGCTGGAGCACAATCATGGCTCACTACAGCTTTGACCTCTGGGGTTCAGGTGATCCCACCCCAGCCTCCTGAGTAGCTGGAATTACAAGCACATGCCTTCATGCCTGGGTAATTTTTTTTTTTTAATAAAGTCTCACTATGTTGCCTAGGCTGAGGTCTTGAACTTCTGTGACTCCTGCCTTGGCCTCCCAAAGTGCCAGGATTACAGGTCAGCCACTGTACCTGGCCTTCCCTCACTTCTTATAAAAGTATATAAACTTTTAAAATCATTCATGGTTATCATCACCAATATCCACCATTTGCTGTGATAATTCCATTCTTGGTTTATTTTTCTGTTTTCCTAACTTCCTGCTTGCTGGCCTTGGTTTATTATCTCCTTTTACCAGCCCCTCCTCTTTGATTTCTAGCATTCTAGTTTGCTCCTTTTAAAAGACTGTAAACTGGCCAGGTGTGGTGGATCAGCCTATAATCCCAGCACTTTGGGAGGCCGAGGCAAGAGGACTGCCTGAGCCCGGAGGTCTAAGACCAGCCTGGGCAACTTGGTGAGACCACATCTCTACAATAAATCACAAAAATTAGCCGGGCGTGGTGGTGTGTGCCTGTTGTTCCAGCTACTTAGAAGGCTGAGGTGGAAGGATCACCTGAGCCCAGCAAGTGGAGGCTGCAGTGGCCGTGAGCAGCATGCCACTGCACTCCAGCCTGGTGACAGAGACTCCAACTCAAATAAATAAATAAATAAAAGACTGCAAACTAGGAAGTAAGACAGTCAAGCTTAGTTCCATGTTCTATATAAAAAGCAAAAACACACTGAATCAAATCCAATAATACCACACGATTTTGTTAGGATGCCCTTTTTGTCTGTCTGCTTCAATAAACAGTAGGTCTGGGTTCTCTGCTGCCTTTATTGTTGCTGTTGTTTGTTATTGTTAGATATAGTCTTTAAGTTCTGGGTTGTGAAGTTTCTAGAATTCTGACTTATGGAAAAGAGGGCTAGAAAGGCCATATTTAGAGGGCTACGTATACATCTGGCAAGTGTAGTTAAGACTTACCTGGAAGGTATTATATAATGATTTAAGAGAGAATGTGAATTATAATTGTTTCCTCCTGTGGGGTCTGAACTAATTCTTTTAAAAGTTCTAAATTTAGGCCGGGTTTGGTGGCTCAGTCTGTAATCCCGCGCCTTTGGGAGGCTGAGGTGAGTGGATTGCCTGAGCCCGCGGGTTCGAGACCCGCCTGGGCAGTGAGACTTCATCTCTACAATAAATCAAAAAAATCAGCCAGGCGTGGTAGCGCATGCCTGTAATTCCGGCTACTTGGAAGGCTGAGGTGGAAGGATCGCCGGAGCCCAGCAGTTCGAGGCTGTGGTGGCCGGGAGCGGCCACTGCACTCCAGTCTGGCCGTCAGAGTGAGACTCCAACTCAAAAAAAACAAAAACAAAAAGTTCTAAATTTATATTGATTTTATTCTGAGATTTGTTTTTTGATGTATCTATAAAACCGTCATTTTTACAAATAAATTACGTGATTTAAATAGATGAGTTTTTTGTTTAAAATGAATTACAGTCATTTGCAGAATAATGACATTTTGATCAACAATGGAACTCAAAACTTCCAATCACCTAATAGCATCTTAGTCATTGTAAAGTTGTAGCATAATGCATTATTCATGTTTGTGATGATGTTGGTATAAACAAACCTACTGAACTGCCAGTTGTATAAAAGTAAAGCATGTACAATTATGTATGATAGATAACACTTGATAATGTAATAAACGACTGTTTACTGGTTTAAGAGAGGGACCCAAAAAACCAAAAATTATCTTTTGAGGGAAGAGCTCTTGTGGTACAGGCTTTCTCTTCTATGTAAGTGTTCTAGGAATCCATTGGCATCAGCATACCGGCTAGCACTGTTTTGAGAGGCTGCATTCAGCTTTAGTGAAATTTTTTTGGAGATTCTTTCAAGACGGTTGCTCAGCACCTGCCCACACTGTGCTGAGTTTTCAGCAGTTTTTGACCAAAAACGGCATGATCCCTGTGACCTACTCTTCCTATTCACCAGATCTCACCCTGAAAAACTTTTGTTTCCCAGGGTGAAAAAAGTCCTTAAGGGAAAACACTTTGCTGATGTGGAAGAGGTAGGAAAAAAAGGCAAAAGCACTAAAAGGCATCAAAATAGAAGAGTTCAAAGACTATTTTGAGCAGTGGAAAAAGCATCTCAATAAGAGTATTGCATCAAATGGAGAGCACTTTGAAGATGACAAGTTTAAACAGGTAAGGGTAAATATACAATATATTTTATAAATAAATTCCATTTTGGAGAGTGTCCCCCTTTGTTCATATTTACTATATTCCATTTATTATTCTTTTGGAGTGTACTACTCCTGCTTATTAAAAAAAATGTTAATTGTAAAGCAGCCTCAGGTAGGTCCTTCAGGAGCTATTCCAGAAGAAGGCATTGTTATCATAGGAAATGATAGCTCCATGTGTAGTGTTATCCCCTGAAGACTTTCCAGTGGGACAAGATATGGAGGTAAAAGACTGTGATACTGATGATCCTGACTCTGTGTAGGCCTAGGGTAGAGTGTGTGTGTGTGTGTGTGTGTGTGTGTGTGTGTGTGTGTGTGTGTGTGTACGTGTGTGTGTGTTTTAAAAAGTTCATCAAGTAATAGACAAATTTAAAACAGGTAATCACTGATAGAATAAGGATATAAAGAAAATATTTGTATAGGTGCACCATGTGTTTGTGTTTAAAGCTATGTGTTATTATAAAATTCAAAACATTAAAAATAACATTTATAAAGTTAAAAAGTTCCAGTAAGCTAAGACTCATTTATTATTAGAGAAAGAAAAATTTTTTAAATAAACTGAGTGTGGTCTAGGTGTACAGCGTTTAAAGTCTACAGCAGTGGGCAATCATGTGCTAGGGCTTTCCATTCATGTACCACTCACCCACTGCCTCACACAGAGCAACCTCCAGTCCTGCCAGTTCCATTCACAATGATTGCCCTGTGTAGGTGCGTCATCTTGAATCTTTTATGCTGTATTTTTATCGCCCCTTTTCTGTGTTTGAATACACAAATGCTCACCAGTGTGCCATACTGCCTACAATACTCAGCAGTATATATTTTACAGGCGTGTATATGGGCAACAGGCTACGCCACACAATCTAGGTGTGCAGTAAGCCATGTCATCAAGGTCTGTGTAAGTATACTCTATGGTGTGCACATGATAAGAAAATCATCATTTTTCAGCAAGTATCCCCATTGTTAAGTGACGCGTGACTGTATATGTAACAAGGCATACACACACACACAAACACACACATATATATACATATATATCATATACATATATATTTCTAGCATATATATGATATATATGCCTTCTCTCAGCACATGCAGGGCTAAAATAACTACTCATACCCAAATGAATGTATGTATTTTCCTTCAGTGGAGAATTGAACTTACACTCTAAAGATTTTAAACCCTAAGTCTGCCTATCAAAACTGAAAATCCATCCATTCACTCTCTTTTTTTCCCCTAGTTCAGCCTTTAACACGTCACATTCACTCTTGACCAAGCACCTATATAAGTTTGCCAACATCAACCTGCCCTGTTGGGGGTGAGGTTGAGAGGCTCCAGGAGACATGAAAGGGAACCTGGTGCTCACGGTGTGGGTTCCGAGGTCAGATGGTCACATCTGAATCCTGGCTCCAGTAGAACTCTTGGGCATTGTGCTTAAGTGCTCTCATTCTTGATTTTCTTACTTTAAAACTGGAACGATAATAATGCCAGTATCTCTTCCACAGGGTTTCTGTGACTATTAAAGGAGGGCATGACTACAAATGTGTGGCAAATAGTACATAGCCTATCCCCGGTGGTGGTCAGTTTCACCATGAGTCTTACTTCTCTGCATCATGGGGGATGGCTGATTGAGGAGGGTGGCCAGACCGTGGTAGATAGCGCCCTGCTTTGCTACTTCGAGTGTTACCACAGAACTTGTTCTTGTCATGAGCTCTGCCGCCCTAGGAAGAAAGTATCACGCGTGTAAGAAAAACAGTAGTACAGTGTCTGCTCTGTCACTCCAATAGCTGTGATCACAGCAACCAAAAATCACGTTCCACAGACTCATCTACTATGCTGGGTAATAGTTCCAACTTTCAGACAGATTACCATCCACCCATTTCCTACCCACCGCCCATTTCCTTCCTTTGAAATTGACTATGAAAAAATGCAAACATAACTCCTGTCAACAAATTAAGAAGAGTAGGATGATACTCAGAAAAAAGTGCTAAGAGTATGTTTCTTTCAAGTCTCAAAGAAACTGTTCTAAACTAAAATATATATTTATAATTTGATAACAAATAAAATGTCATATACACCAGGAATTTTATATGTAAAAAGGTAAAACAGTAATAAGAGCATAAGTTTTTAGCATTATTTTTTGGTCTTCCAATTTCCAAACATAATGCAAAATATCACCTAAAAATTGCTGATACTAAGCTTCAAATAAATCAACCATACCTTTCCTGAGAGAGTCCAACCAGACTTCGTCCGTCTACACTGAGGAGCTGATCACCTGCAGCTAGTCGTCCATCCTGGGCACCCACATAGTGTGTGTAGGAGTGAGGGGTGAGACAATAAAGGGAAAGGAAGAGGAGGAGAAGGCAGTGATAAGCACCTTAATATTGTACTTCAAACAAACACTGGATAGTGTTTATGTAACTGAAGTATCAGTGAATCTCTAACATCATTTGTTAAATATATGCCATACTGAAAGTCTGCTTTTTAAAAATGATACTGACCACATCTGCAGCGCCTCCTTTCACAACAGACTTGACATAGATTCCTAGCTTATCTTGGCCAGCACCCTACATAAAAACAAGGTAAGAATGAAAATACAGTAAGATATACAGTAAGGAGGCACTACTCAGGAAGTGTAAAACCAAGTGAAACCACCACACCTGTACACAGGTAACTGTAACAGAGTCCTGGCTCTTATTTTTACATGTAGATTAGAAACAAAAAAATCAGTTATTCATGCATCAGTTGATGAGGAGACTAAAAGAGACTTGGAATCTTGTTATTAATTTAAGAATAGCTCTGAACAGTCATAAATTCAAGCAAATTAAAAACTACCTGCATGATATATACTTTTAGTTATTTCAATACAAAAAGCAATTTATTATTTTTTACATTTCACTATTTACTTATATCCCTTCTTAACCCTTGTTCTTTACATACATAAAGTTTAAAATATAAAACAATAAAAAATTTCTTATGGCAAACAATAGGAGAAACTTGGGTGGTAAGAGAAAATAATGCAGGAAATACTCTCTATTTTAACTCTAGATAAATATTAAAGCAGTAAGACCCGATTCATACAGAATTGATATTATGAAAGAATAATGAAATTCTGTGGGATAGACTTAACTGCTATAAATAATTACTTTCGGAATCATCAGTATTCTACTTGAACATCACAACTATAACATAAAAGTCAAAATTTTGGATAATTTTTTAGATCAATCAAAGAAAACAATCTACATAAAATCTTACATGGATATTACTGACAATATTGTACAGCTGAGTATAATTTCACAGGTCACAACTACTAAAGATTATTAAGTATTGTGTCATAAAAGTAAAAATATATCACAGAAAGATATGAAGACAGTGATTTCAACAGATGACGTCATTAAAGCAACTTTTCTACAATACCCTGAAGCTATGTGATTTTTCACTTGAAAACTACTCATATTTTTCTCTTTAGTTAACAAGTTAAGTTTACAGAGGACAGTCTAACTTTCTAGCATTGTTGATCCTGCCTCCCTTACTCCTCTCAGAAAAAGAAAAGCATGCAGCACATCATGTTTTATAAGCATAAAACCATCTATTCCATATCTCATTTCGAAAATAGTACATGTCTTCATTTAACAAAATAACTCAATTTTGGAAAGCAGTATGCTTCAAATTCCATGTGGTTATATCAACTGGGAACTAAGTTTCTAAAAGTTCTATACAAGGCAAAACCAAGTCATCTCTTGCTGCTGATATGAATTTTCCAATCAGCTCAACCTCCATATCCCTGTGTCTATCTACACAGCTCTCCTGTGGGTGGCGCCACTAGCACTGCGCTGCCAATCTCCAGCCCAGTACCACCTAGACGCCACACTCCCTACTCCATACCTCCCTCCAGAAACCATTCAGCACTGCCCACATGCCACAACAGCTAAGCGCAATCTGTGGTCCTTAAATGAACTCTTTTGCCATAAAAGGATTATTGAGATAGTTGGCAAGGCCCACACTCTTTTGTAAGTTTAAAATTTCAAAATAAAAAATACGATACGCAGCAGGTACTCAATAAATGGCAACTTTGTGAATTTCAGCATATATATCACTTAGCAAAAGAATAATAACCATGCCTTTTACCTGACTAAAGTTATGACAACAATTAGATTCCTTCAATTTAGGAACCTAACAGTCCTGTGGAAAATCACTTCTGAGTCATAGCCCCCCAATGCCCCTATCTGTTAAACTGGATATTCTCTCATATATAATCTGAATCTTGACATGTTTCATTATTTTATGGAATATACAAATAACTGCTTAATTCCACAACTCAGCTGTGTAAATGATAATTTCATTCATCCAACAAATAATCACAGAGTACCTAAACTGTCCCAAGCACTGTGTATACATAAATGGACAAAACAGACAAAAGCCCTTGCCCTCACAGAGCTTATATTCTACACTAGAGTTTATTTGTAGTCATCCAGTAAGTATTCTGGTTAGAGCACTGAAAATCCTTCCATTTCTTTTTCTTGGAAATGCCTCATGGTTATTCCCTTTTAGTTGGTGCCCTAGACCAGGCTTCTAAAAAAAGTTTTTAAAGCACTAGTTGTTTTTTCCTCTTCTTTCTACTTGACTGATTGACAAGCAATGCTTCCTGAATGTTAGAGTGCCAACCATCAGTGTGGATGGGCACTCATCTGCATTTTCACACAGCATTATCTTTTGGTTAATGTAACACTGATCCTGTAACTTAAATAATAATAATATTTAAATTATTTTCTTTTAATAAGATAACCAATTATCATCTGACAAGAAAAATGTTTATAAAAATTATACTAGTAAATAATATTTTAACACTACTGTACACAAATAAATACCAAATACATATTTTAAAACAATAAATCAAGCCTCTCCCCCATTTCTGACAGGCTCTAAAAGATTACAGTCAGTAAGGCCCCCCCAATCCCAATTACTTATTTAGATAAACTGTAGTAAGAAACTCTTTTTAAAATCAAAAAATGGAACAATATAAGAAAAAGAGAACAAGACTGTTTTGCTTCTCCCCATAAGCCAAGACGCGACAGACATCATTGGTGCTGCCTGTCCATTGGCTCTTCTGTTACTCACGTTTTTCACTCTGGGAAGATATCTTTGTGCCCCCTCCACAGTAAACTGCAGACTCCCATCTCTGTTTTCAGCTTCATTTAGAGCAGTAACCGTATCCCTGAGAGCAACTCCTAGGCTTTTTTCCTTCCTAACTATTCTACATAAGCAGACCACGAATACATTAGCTCAAGGTGTTGAGTCTATATGAACTGCAACCAGTACTTAAATAACCTAAAATCCTGCATTCTTTTAAGATATGTAATTTATAATACTTTATGCAATGTGAAATGTAATAAGAAAATTGAAATATTCAAGCAAAACTGATCACGTAATACAGATATTTGACAGCACCATTATCTACATTTTCTTTAATTTTTCAATTTTTAAACATTTTTTAATTTTAGATCCAGGGGTACACATGGGTATTCATTTTATGGACATATTGTTACCACCATCTACCTTTAAATAGGCTAATGTTTACATTATACATTTTGAAAAAAATCCGGCAAAATGAAGAAGCTCTCCTCATGACTAACCTTCTGGTTTCCCTATGTCCAATCACCTTTCCTGAAGCACAGCTTAGGCAACACTATCCTGACTAGACTTCACTAACTACCACTACTGTAAAATGCACAGCAGCCTCCGGCACAAGGTATTCTCACAGCTCCCTGAGCTCAAATTCAAGTTTCAAGTTCTCTCACAGCACACTGAGCTCCACTGGAACTGCCCTCCACACCCTCTTGTTCTCACCTGACTCATGTCCTTGCCTTTGTTGCTGTTCTCTTCACATGAAACATCCTTCTGATGCAATGCACATGCCCAAATCCTTCCCATCATCTGCCTCCCAGGCTCACCTACTAACCACCCGCCAGCCCACTCACCTTCCCAGGGCCAGGGACGATACCATCTCTTCCTCACTGTGTTCTCACAGGGTTGCCTTTGCTCCCGAGAGCAGCGAGTTCCCCTGTCCCATATTAATGCTGCCCCTGCAGATACCCCTCCTCCAACTCTACTGTAAGTCTCTTGAGTACGAAGAACTCTATCCCTTTAGGAGCAGCTTCCCAAGGAGGCTGTCTTATAGTTTACTACAATTTGACCAACTTATTTTAAAAAAACGAATACTCTAGTTAAGAAGTAACTGATACGTCCATTATATATAAATTAGCAACTTTAACTTTGTAAAATGACTAGATTGGAAAGTTAGAGACAAGCACTTCAGATTGTGGCACCCAGTGTGATCTTTTAGAAAGGGAACCCAAATCCACAACTGTCAGAAAGGTACAGTATCTCACACATGATACTCTTTCTACATAATGGAAATTTATCTGAATTCTAAGTTACAACCATTTATTTTAATTCCAAGTAAACTGAATTGATAAGTATATCTGCCTGTCACAAAAAAAGGCTTTCATCTAAGGAAATAAACATTCATGATTATTAGAGACCTCAATTCAAAAGATCCATTAGAATGGAAACAGTCTACTAAAGGCTGGTCATAAAAATTTAATTTGATGAAAAGTTAGACAATGCAGCATGAAATATATTTGAAAAACACTCTTAAAAAGAAAGACAGGATAGCATGATAAACATGATATGCAAGCAAAGAATCTGGATTTAGAATATTTTGAGATTTATTCAATTTTGGTTGGCATTTGGATCGTCCATGTGGTCCGACCTCACACTGCTTACCTAGTGACTATTCACTACATCAGACTGCTCTGCATGCACTTCTGTGAACAGGTCACCACTCTAACGACATCGTGCCTTCCTAGAGACACAGTCCCTCTCTCAGACTCACTGTTTCTACTGGAATGCCCTTCCCTACTTCCATTTCTGCTTATCTGACTTCTATCCATACTTCAGGCGCAGCCCAGTCATAAACAGGTTATAAAAAAAAAATCGCAATACAACTGCTGTACAAAGAAATATAGTTCTGCTGGTAATTAATTATTTCAGAAAAACAAAATTACAGATGGATGCACAGAGATGAAAGAACTTTAGGGAATTTATAACTATATATACATCAAATCAGTGTGAGAAGTTACTTTCAACCCACAACACCACAATCTCTGCCCAGCATAAGGTGTTCACTGTCTCAAGCTCGTCATGGCAGTGCTGGCCTGGAATGTCACACAGCTCTGCCTCATCCCTCACTGCCAGGGTTACTGAGAACACATCGGGTATTGGTCAGACACCTGGGCAACTCTCACCTGTCAAGCTGTAACAACCCCTTAACTTTATGAAACTCTCAATCTGCTGCCCAACACAGCAGTCACTAGGCGCCAGGAAGTTACAGAGCCCAACTGAAACACGTAAGTGTAAAATCACCCAGATCCAAAAGACTTGGTTTGGAAAAGAGAATGTAAAATAGCTCACTAATGATATTAACATCAACTACATGTTGAAATAACATTTTTGATACATTAGGTAAAATAAAATATATCATTAAAGTTGATTTCACTTGATTTTT